AGGAAGCGATTCATCCACATAAACAATGCTTAAATCATCCATCCCATGTCCGACATCTCTAGGTTTTTCCTCCACCATCTGGAATATGACCTGATATATAAAACATAACAAAATTTTACTATCCAAGAGAGTAGTAATGAAAATTGAAACACAGCCATAAAATTTTCACAAAGTGAAACAAAAGCAGAAAATCAAGCTTATTTAATCAGATATAATACATCATCATTTTATTTAAAGCAGTCGAAGTCTAAAAAGGTATAGCGAGTTTGAAAGTACTGATGATAAACACACAAAATTCAGGCCTCTACAGAGTAGACACTGAGAAACTAATTAAGTAAACAAGTGATCACAGTTATCCAGAACCATATGAATATAAGTCCTTTATCTCAAGACCAAACATGGAACATGTAGATTGCATTAGCATGAGTAAACGAACATAGTGCCATTATGGTACATGAATCCTTACCTCATAAATATCATCCTTCAGACGAGTACAAGACAAATTGACAGCTCCTAAAGCCACAACATGCGGTTGGTGGTCCATCATAAACTTTAAAACACGATCCTGGTCACTCTTTTTACGTTGCTGGTCGTTGACATTTTGAGATCGCGATGTGAGGGATCCAGCATAAAGCACGTCAAGCACCTCGCCTGATGAGTCCAGCATCACAAATGTATTTGGTGGCTTTCCAGGTCCCCAACAACATGCCATGACCCTCGGTGCAGCTTCCTCATCTGAATTCATGTCCATTTCTTTCTTTTGATATGGCCCTGCAGACACCTTATTCCACAAAGCCTGTCCATACTCTGAAAGCAACCGACTCTTCGCTCTGCTAGTTAGCAAGGATCTTGCTTCTTTCTCCATTGATGGCAAAAGAAAAGCATGAAGTGCATCCTCCAGTATCAACTTTCTTTGCTCATTCCAGAGTTGAGCATACTTACTAACACCAACACTTAGATAGTGTTCATTGCAGTCACTAATTAGCCTATTCATGTAATTCTCAGGTAGCTTGAAGGTTACTTGAAGAAGTTTCTCCTCTTCTGCCTTCTGAATGAGAAGCCACTGTGCACCCTCAAACTTGCTCAATGGCTTTTCACGTAACCACTTAATGCCAGAAAACTGATGGAACGAATCTATTACTGTATTTCCATCTGCTGTTGGACTTGTTGAGACCACTGCATTCTCCATATAAATGCCACGGACATACTTTTTGACTGATGGCTCACAACTTATCTCAACTGCAGCCTAACAAGGAAAAATCGGATATCTCCGCGTTAATGATTAGGGAAGTTCTTCTAATATTAAACCCAGCTAAACAGTTCATAAAATAGTTTTTATTGCAGAGTATACCATATGCCGTGCACCCTTCAGAACGGCCAGAGGATTTTCAAACATTGCGCACACAAAGTTCTGAGCCATCTCCTCTGGTGTTTCCTTTGCGTCCTCAAGTTCATCAACCTGCAACTCAATTAGCGTCAGAACTGCCATTCCAGTACAACATGCGGATCAAACAATATAAAAGCATACTGACCAGTTTTTCTAAGGACAATGCAAGTCCCAATTGCTCAGCACTATACCCAAATTTGTTTGCAACCTCCCAGAGCCCCGCTTTACTGCAGATGCTATATTGTGATTTCCTTTTCGGCCTCTTATACTGCCCTTCATCAACACCAATTTCACCGGGAGGGAAATGCAAGTTGAACTTGGAATCTACATCATCAACTTCTCTTTCTGTTTCTGCAACTTTAAGAGACTTAATGACTGATTCGAAAAGATACTGGTTTAGATTAAGTCTAGTTTCATCATAGACCCTCCTAGACTCTTCTTCGTAACGTTTTGTATAGTAACCATGCAAAGCCATTTTCCTTTTTCGAAGAAGGAGCCACTTCTTATCCAAGTCATTAATCATCCAGAAGACCTACATTGGCAAATAGTTTACATTAATCCACCAAATTTCCTCTGACAATAAGTGTTAACCTGAGTACTTGTTGTTTCTCCAAGAAAATTGCTTACCTTATGCCACTTGGTCTCAGGTTTCTTGTCTTGATTGGCGCCATCAACATCACCAGTGTCCAACAAGCTCCGGCATTGCTCCTTTCGGTACATAGCTATAAAGGGTATCTAGACGAAACAGAAAACATTATCAAGCTAATCAATGAATCAAGGAAAAATCCAACGAGAGAATGAATCCAAAACCTCTAATTTCTGCACATGATGTAGCTCCAAAAATTTTGCGATGTCATCCTTATTAACCGAGAAACCCCGCCCCTCAAAAGTTCCATCAGATTCTTTAAGTAGAGAAGCAAGTTGAGCATATATCCAATTGCTTTCTTCTTCAATGCTAATTTCATCTACAGGAGGGCTTCCGGTGCTTTCTTCAGATATCTGTCAAAGTTTACAAGATATCTTTACATCTATCCTTGAACGCCAAATAAAACATAGACCACAAGTAAGCATAGAGAAAACTAAAGAAGATAATGTACCTGCATTCTCTCAGGAATATCAAGCTGGCGAATTTCATCATCTTTCCCTGTCATATATTTCTCAGAAAGAACAGTTGGTTCAAACTCATCTTCGAGTCTTCTTTCCATCCTTTCATTAGATGCCAAACCCTTTTTGCGAATTGTCAATAATTCGTCAACATCACCAAATATTTCATTAGCGTCTCGCATAGCATTAATATCTGATCCCTGCCTAAATTTCTTTTTTTTCGAGTTCCCCCTGAAAAATTAAGTTGACTAGAATCAGAAAATGTACATGACATAAGAGATATGTTAAGAGCACAAAAGGGATAAACAACAGAAAAAAAAAAAAATACCTCTTAGGAGCACCAAGCCCATCATCTTCATCTACAATAAAATCTGCCATTTCGTCCTCGCTCCCAACTACATCTTCTTCCACAACTAAGTCTTCCTCATCACCTACATCATCAGGTGGATCTACTAGACACAAAATGTACATAGTCAACTATGTGCCAACAGTAAACATAAGAGTATCAGAAGGCACAAGAGAACCTACCATCAACATCAACATCATCAAAAAGCCTGTCTTTGATCTTATCCTCAGCACTTCTTTTAGCTCCACCTCTCCCATCAAACTCATCATCGGATGATTCCCCCGGACCATTGTCCCTTTCCCTTTGAGCTTTCTTCAACCGCTTATACTTCCTCTGTCATGGTTCAAGAAAAAAGTCAAAATGTATTAGTACTGCACATATATTTTTATTGTTATGTACAAAATCCTGATATAGTTATACACAAACATGACTAACCTTTTCGAATTTGACGTTGTTATCTTGGAGAAGCAGATAATCATCTTCATCAAGATCTTCGTCCCTATTAAAATCATCATACATGGAAGGTTAATCAGAAAGAGAACAGACCTGCTATAGTTCGTTTAATGGTAACTTATATACTAATCACAAACAATGCATATGAAAATCACAAATCAAGAATGCTGAGAATTAAGGACACATTTATTCAAGTGTATCATGCATGTCGACACTAACATTAAGTTTTTTCATATGTTAGAAAAGGATCAAATTTAAGAGAACGAGTAGGGATATAATATTCACTTTTTCCTTCGTTTCTTCTTCTTTTTCTGCCTCTCCTCATCGCTATCTTTCCTTTCTTCGTCCTCTTCATCTTCTTCTTCTTCTTCTTCATCATTCACTATGAACCCATCATTCTCATACTCATTCCCAACTACAAAACAGATATACGGATTGCACATCATGGAACAAAAATAGCCTGAATCTAAGTGCAAAAAACCCTACCGACTCAAACCCAAGGTGAGAGAAATGTGTGAAGCTCAAAACTTAATATACAGAAACCATGAAGTCTAAAAAGGATTGAATCAAGCAACCATATGAAACAGAGAATATAGAAACCAAAAATGGTAAAAGGAGAGATTTTGCAGCAAATAAATAAACATCTAAGAACACACACATCTATGCATTCACTTAATTTTTCGACCCATCCAACATTGATTTCCTAACTGTTTTTTTTGTGTTGTCAAATCCAGACACTGCATCTTCTAATGGAGCACATGCAACATAATTTCTCCAAATGAATCGTTTTTAAGACAAAGAACTGCATGCACCTCTGTACTTAACCAAACCATACCACTATTTTCCTTCGACGCAATCAGACTCTAAAGCTTTCAGGTTTAGGATGGTAAGCAAAAAGAAACTGAGGAAATCTCAAAATGAAAAGAAACAAAGACGACACATTTCTCACTCGGAGTAGTCAAAAATCAAGGAAAAAACTTGTACCGTCATCATCATCTTCTTCATCATCGTTGTCATCGTGCTCAACTGGATCTCCATGAACTGGCTCTGCGTCCTCATCCTCAAGCTCATGATCCTCTACCCAAAGGAAACAAAAAAATTCAATTTTTAAGACAAATCAGAAGAAAATAAACAAAACCCTAGTATTATTACGGCGTTTCACACATAAAAAATTAGGGTTTGCGACGAAGCGATTTAGGTACCTTCATCGTCAGAGATTGCGTTCCTAGCCATGTTTATCTCAACCAATTAGAAGTACGATAACGCAGAAGCGAGCCCTGAAAACTGCAGAAACGTAGAGATTGTGATTATGATTTCTGATTTTGCGAAGAAAAAAGGGGGAAGAAGATTCTCGCGATTTCTAGGGTTCTTCGAAAAGCGAACTCAGAAGGAGCTAGAGAAGAGAAATGGGTTTGGTAAAGGAAGAGGCTTACCAGTGTGAATTTTTCCAGAAGCGAAAGGCGACAAAAATCTGAAAACGAAGAAGAAGACGGTGAATGGTGATGAGAATTCAACTTTATACTGAAATTTGCTTCAATTTCTTTTTTTTTCTCGTTTTAGAAATAAAATGTTTTATTTTAATTATATTTCCTGAAAACAAATTTTTACTTGATGACAAAAAAAAAAAAAAAATTTTACTTTTTTGTAAGACAAGTTTTACTGAAATGTAAAGAGTAAAAAGTAAACTCAAACAAAAAAAAATTATTCAAATTATCTTATAATCTATACTAAACTAAACTAACCAAATAAAGTGTAAAAAATTACAATAGAATGTCATTGGAAAATTTTAAACCAACGACTAAAAAACAGAAATCGTCAGAGGGTATAATGGACAATTTCAAGGGCAATTACACGCGGATCTTGGATCCATTACCAGCGGATCTTGGAGCCAGCAGTCGGATCTCTATCCAGAAGTGCATAATGAGCTTATTGGGCTTAGTCGATCTTGGGCCTTTATATTTCTCTCGCAATTGGTAGATCTGCATTAATTCAAAACATAATATTAGATTCGTGCATATAAAGATATTTTCCATAATAAACAAACCTATATTCACTAATTAACTAAACCGATATTTCAATAAAAACTCAATCCCATATATTTAGATGATTCAAAGAAAACTTATCTCTTAATATTCGATTTCCTTGATTTGTTATTAGTTTAACCAATAATAACAAACTCTATATCTTCATATCCGAATAAATTAAGTATATACCTCAACTATTCTTATTCTCAAATCTTCTCTTAGGCGGTAATTTTCTAAACCCTAAGCAACCCTATACGTTCTCCATCTCTTATAAATATAGAAATCAAACGACATTCTCAATACACACTAAGCTATCAAACGCAAAGCATACCTCTCAAACAATGGCTCTTCCCATCACAGAACTGTCAAGGAAGAGTTACCTCCTCCTAAATAGCTCTCAAACCCAAAGCATACCTCTCAAACATTTGTGTTATTTTCAGAGTGGATTCTAGCAGTTGGTGATGGTAAGATAGCACAGCCTAACGATGGAGAAGTGATGATAGAAATTCCTGATGAGTTTTTAATCAAAGATGCTGATAATCCAATTGAGACAATAAGCAGGGAAATTTATGGAGATCCTAAGTTATTGAAGGACAAAAACGATCATGTCTTCTTTCAACAGAGGGAGATTTTATGCCCCACCAATGAAGATGTTGGTATGATCAACAATTATATGCTTGATCAAATGGAAGGTTAGTATCCATACTAACCATGTTATTGAGCTTTTGTAATATTTATATGTTGTTAAAGTCAATGTTATATTGTGTGTAGGTGAGGAACAAATATACCTAAGTTCTGATTCTGTAGATCCTTCTGACATTGGAGGTAAGAATAATCCAGTTATAACATCAGAGTTTTGAACAATCTAAAGGTATCTAGATTGCCAAATCATGGTATAAGGTTGAAAGTTGGTTGTCCTGTGATGTTACTAAGAAACCTAGATCCAAGAGGAGGATTAATGAATGGCACCAGGCTGCAAATAACACAAATGGCTGACAAACTTATTGAGGCAGTCATTATTACAGGTGATAGAGTTGGAGATAAAGTGATCCTTCCCAGGATATTGATATCTCCATCCGACAGTAAACTTCCTTTTAAAATGCGAAGAAGACAACTTCCAATAGCAGTGGCTTTTGCTATGACCATTAATAAAAGTCAGGGGCAATCTCTGAATCATGTTGGCATCTATCTTCCCAGACCATGCTTTTCACATGGCCAACTATATGTGGCTATCTCAAGGGTAACTTCAAAGAAAGGACTGAAGATCCTAATAGTGGATAAAGAAGGCAAACCGCAGAAGGAAACGATGAATGTGGTGTTTAAGGAAGTTTTCCAGAACCTATAAGACTAAGCGTTGAAAGAGACATTTGTTCACAGAGGTAAGAACAAATATGAAATGATTCTGATATATCTCTGTTATACTATAAGAGTTTCTGATTTCTTTATGTCTGAGCAGGTCAAACAAGGTATGAAAACGTGTGTTTGGCAAATAAAGGAATCAGTGATTGAAGTTTCAAGAGAAGAACTGATACCCAACCCTACTGTTTCTGTTATTTTCATGTTTTCTTTTTACATGAATTCGAAGACACATCTAGCTTATAACAGCTTAACTTTGTTTTTCAAAAGTTTTATGTCCTAATACCATCATATTCAGTAATATGAAGTTAACTATTTCATATTTATAAGTAATAATGGTTATTACTGCTAACCAAACAGTCCGATCAATTATAATATAGAAAATCTCACAACTCACTACTTCTATTAACAAACAAATGCAGAATAAAGCTCCAACAGCATCACAAGAAACGAAATTACTATTTAAAAATTTCTGACATAATTAATTTGTAAGTATTTCATCTACACTTATTCAACCAAATTTGGAAATCAATAGAGTAGGTCTATATTGTTATCACCTAATCAAAAGTGTTATGTTTAATATCTTACTAACCTTTTTAAATATAGATCTTTAAAAACCTCTAATTACAACACCAAATCTCTTCCCTCCTTAAGAATCCAACTTCAAATTGATCATTTGTCTGCAGATTTTTAACAGTTATCAAAGTTTCATTAGTACAACCATACAAATCATTCTAAAGACTAAGAAACATTGCCGTTTTAAATTAAAAGGATTGTACCAAATTATATTTCAAGAATGCTCCAAATTAAACTGTTACTGCTTCAGCTCCATAAGAATTATGTGCGCAAAATTCTACTTCGCCTGCAAACATTGAACTTTGTATCATGAATCTAACATTCAGCTAAAGAATAATGAAGCAGGAGCATTTTGCAATAAAGTGCTCAAGTTATACAATAATCTGGATAAAAAAAAAACTTATCTTCATTCTTCTTCTTCTTTTGAGAACCCATTGAAATATGGCTACTAATCTGAAACAATTATAAAAACAAAAAAAAAATTATAGATTTACAGCTTAAAAGATATATTGAAATTGATTAGATTTAGTCTATTAACACTATGAATTTTGAGAAGAAACAGATTGATTGACTAACTAACATGTTTAAACAAAACGAAACATGTAAAAAAATTGCATGCAATTAGATATGAAAAAGGTAATAATTAATCAAATTCTGTGGGTTATTCACAATCGTTGTATAAGATCTATAATGAAACAAGAAAAAATCTATGGTAGAAACCCAATCGGCAGATTCCAAAAAAGTTCAAACAAAAATCAAAGAGAAGAAAAGCTTACCTCTTTTAAGATCTTATAATTTGCAAAGAATTGATGTATAAGCGAAGACGATGGAAGTGAATTTCGGATGGATTTCGATACAGCTTCGTCGATCGGCCGACAAAAATTATTTTCTCAGATTGGAAAATTGTCGAAGGTTTCAGACAAAGAACAAAAAGAAATATCTTTCCAGATAAAAAAAACATAAAATGAAATAATGTCAGGACCAATATTTGTGTGTTTTACGGGAGAATTCACCTCTTGTGCCACTAATCGAGAAATGCTAGCCTCTTATGCCACTCTTATGTTTTCTTTTTATTATCGAATTTATTTTAAATCGAGAAAGTGAGTAAATTACATAAAACCCAGACGAAAATAATTAAACTACGATCCAACCTAACAACCCGAACCCAGTCGATAAGAAAATAACCCGGTCCATACAAATTCCCCAAATTTACCCTAATTCTGAAAATTTCTCTAAGTGTAAAATCTGAAAACCGTAAAATATGTTTCACTTCTCTTCGTCGCTTGTATGCAATGTCATGTTTCCGCTTGACGAAGCATCAATGCCAACAAATAACAAGCGCCATGTCCAGTTTTTGGTGGAATGCAAGTGAAGATAAGCACAAAATGCATTGGGTCTCCTGGGAGAAATTATGTAAATCCAAAAAACATGGAGGATTGGGTTTTCGTGATATTGGAAGTTTCAACCAAGCTTTACTAGCGAAACAAGCTTGGCGGCTTCTAGACTGCGCTGAGTCATTAGTTTCTCGAGTGTATAAAGCCATATATTTTGCTACGAAAAGTTTTTTAGAGGCAAAAATTGGCTACAGACCGTCGTATGCTAGGAAAAGTATATTGTTTGGTCGGGAACTATTGGAAAGAGGCTTGATGAAATCAATAGGGAATGGTAAGGATACACGTATTTGGGCTGATAAATGGGTGAGGGATGTTTATCCGAGACGTCCGATTAATAAGGAACTAATGATGGACCTTAATCTCAAGGTAGTAACATTGATAACACCACAAGGAACTTGGAACATTCAACTCTTAAATGAGTTTTTTCCTACCTGTGACGTCACTCAAATCAGCTCTTTCCCTCCGGATCCTCACTTACAGGACAGATTTGTATGGGCATATACAAAAGATGGAAGGTACTCGGTCAAGAGTGGTAACTAGGTGCTAGGCCGTGAGGCAACAACCATGGAAGTTATCCCGGAAAGAATTCAGAAGCTTAACAAGCTTAAAGAAGAGGTTTGGTCTGTCGTGACGGCGCCAAAAATTAAACTTTTCTTATGGCGTGCTTTGTCAGGGGCCTTAGCAGTTGCAGAGTGTTTAAGAAGTCATGGTATCAACACACAACCAATATGCTCAATTTGCAACACCGAGGAGGAAACGATTTCCCATGTGCTATTCAGCTGTACATTGGCATCTCAGGTGTGGTCTGCGACTAAACTACCATTACCAAGCCATGGCTTCACCAACTCTGTTTCCCAAAACATTGAATACGCTCTAAGCTTAATCGAGAAGCCAGGTTTAGATCCGCATGTTCGGGCGGCAGTTCCATGGGTCTTATGGGAGATTTGGAAGGCTCGTAATGCTATATTGTATGCAGCTAAGGGCACTGATCATCATTTTGTCCTTGCTACTGCATTGGAAGAAGCAGAGGAATGGATCAAACAAAACCAGATTCTAGCCACAGAGTCTGTGTGGGCTGCAAGAAATTACTTTATGCCCCGAAAATTTTGGTCTCGTCCTGCTGTTGGTGTTTTAAAATGCAACATTCATGCATCTTAGCTAAATGACAAGTATTTTTGTGGAGCAGCATGGATCCTTCGCAATCATAACGGGGATGCTTTATTTCATGCTCGGGATGCATTCTTACCTTTATTCAACAGAGTTGCAGCGGAGCTGAAGTGCATTTTTTGGACTCTACAAAGTCTTCATAAACTTCATATTGGCTCCTGCGAGGTTTGGACTGATTGTGCGGCTGCAATGTCAGCCTTGGAAAATCCGAAAGAGTGGCCAAAATATCGTTATGTTCTTAACAAAATTGTGCAGGTAATACGGGTGATGGGGGAGGTTACTTTCAAACTCTCTTCACCGAAAGCCAACTCGTTGGCTAGGGATATTGCATGCAGTGTTACCCGAGAAGGTCGCTTCACTTCTTACTTAGCTTTAGGAGGTCCATCTTGGTTACATGACCGCATCGAAAGAGAACGCCGTTCTCAAGGCTAAGTCTCTGTTTTTACTTTGGTCTCGCCCTCTGTTTTGGCGTTGCTCTTATCTTCTTTAAATTAATGCTCTGTTTCCTTCTTGTTTGAAACTTTTGGTTTTTGATTTAATACAACTCAGTGGAAAAAAAAAAAATTATCTTATAATTAGAGTGGAAAATATTAAAATAACATTTATACCAATGTAGAATTTGAGCAATGGTAGTCTTTTTTTATAAACAGTAAGCAATTCGTTTTCAAAAAGGTTGAGAGAAATATTTGTATTGTGTGTAGTAAACACATATATACCATCACAAATAAAAATTATTTCTCATTCAAAACAATCTTTTTTTGATGAACTCTTTAATTATTTTTTTGTCAATTGATGTCATTTTAATAGGTAAGAAAACATCCACATATAATATCATAAAATTTAAAAAATTAACAAATAAAAAACCAAAAAATGGATAGGAAAAGCTCTCATAGAGCTTCTAGCAAGTCATATTGTGTTGTTAAAACACATACATACATGATACATCTCGATGAAAGCACCAAAGTAAATGAGAAGTGGATGTAATATCTTAGAAGGATTGATTTCCTAGCTTAATTAACAAAATTTATAGGTGTTATGCTTTTGAAATTAGATCTTAATCATTTTTTTATAAAAATAGTGATTTTTAAAATTTTAAGGGTTATGTATTATATATAAAAGTTTGTTAATTGTGTTATTTTATAAGACATTTATATTTTATAGATCACAGTTGTCATTAAGTAACGAAATACAACGGGACAATTTTTGTTTTATACAATCTTATCTAAATTAGACTGATTTGATATGTCTAATATTGGTGGTGTTAAAAATAATAAAATGAGGATTTAACCCGTATTGAAGCGGCAAGTTAATGATAGTTTAAATTTTTATTAATGTTAATTCAAACTCGTCACGCCATATAACCCTGTCCCGCAAAATAACTCGTTCTGTGTTATTTTAATTTATTTTATACGAAAATAATTTTAAATGTTAACCAAATCTTCAAAATTAAATATGGAATATGATATGGATATTTTTTATTTTATAGATGCAAGGATTAAACCATAGATATTTATGAGAATCAGTATAGATATCCGGTTCATAATTTCGGATATGTTTGACTCGAATCCAAGTACAAAATGTCTTTAAAAAATACTAGTATAGATAAGGTATTATAGTATCATTTTTAATTTCATAAATAACATAAAAACTAGATAAGATCCGCGCCAAACGCGTGGCAAATTTTATGCTATTTAATTATATAAATAATTTTATTTATATATATACATATATATTAATAATTATTTTATTAGGTACTATGTTTGAAGATTACGTAGTAGTTGTATTTGGTTTCATAATGTCTTAAACACAACTTGGAATTATATATATAGATTGCAGGTTTCTTTGAAGTAAATCCTGAAGGTGGCATTTATTTACGAGACATTGTCTTAAATTCTTATGATTTGCAAAATTGAATTGAAGATATTAGCAAGACGATTTAAATCATTAATTCTCTCTTAAATCTTATATTTCCTTAACTACATTCAATTAATCTTTTTTTTTTTTTTGAAACAACCAATCTATTAATCTTCCGAGAAATTGGGTTTTAGCCCATGGGCGTGAACAGTTTACATGGTTACAAAAGGGACGAAGCCCAAATCAGAAATATGCCAGACACAGCGATCTGAATCAAACGGTTTACCTAAACAAAAATCCAACCCATAGTACCGGCGCTAACATAAAGGACTCTACATTCAATTAATTGCTAATTTCATAAAACCTCTCTACCTAAGTTTTTTCAAGAAATAGACTTTTGAGACTTTAAACAAATCAAAAAAATTCAAGACACGACAATTCTCTCAAATATATGCAAATACAAGGAGAGAGATCTAAAAATGTTGACTTAAATGACTCTTCAAGTTTTTGCTTTCTTTTTTTCTTTTCATATGAAAACTCTTGGAGCAAATGAATAGTTAGTTTTACATATGTTGTTCAAATTATGTCAATTCAGTAGTATCTAATCATGAGCCTATTATAATGTGCGTGGTTGGAGTAATAGATCACGAGTGAGTACATAAAATAAGGAATTGTTTGTTTATAATCAAGTGAAGCAAGTTTTAAACTATAAAAGAAACATAATTACATACCATTGTATCAATATATCATATATTGTTGTTGTATGTATTTATGATAGTACAAAAAAATTAGAATCTTAGTATATAGATAATTAATTTATATATATAAAATGTATAATTGATATTTCGAATCAAAAATGAATCTAACCATAAAAATTATAACTACATAAATTAGCAACAAAGAAAAGTATAATTTATTTTTAATAATTTTCAAAACAACAACCCACACGTAGCATGGGTATTCACCTAGACGAATATCCACGTTACGCGTGAGTTTCTTTTAAAAATTGTTAAGAACAGATTATGTTGATTGTTCTATGTTTTTTCCTCATTATGTTGATTGTTCTTGTTGCTTTTGTTTACTTTTTTTTATTTCTTATCGTGTAGTTGATAAAATTAAATTCATCTTATTTAGTTACAATTTTTATGATTAGAATCATTTTTTACTTGAAATATCGATTTATACATTTTTGTATAAATCTGGTTATTTATATTTCTAAGATCCTAATTTTTTTTCACCATCATGAATACATACAAACAATATAGAAATTTTTATACAATTATATGTAATTATGTTATTTGTATGATGTGAAACTCGCCTAACTTGATTATAAATACAATTATGTGTACTCTCATGATCTAGTACTCCAAGCCCATGATGATAGACTCATTATTAGATATTGGATAGACATAAATTAAACAAGATTATAAAGAGTGTTCATATGAAATTAAGAGAAAGAAAGCAAAAACTAAAATGTTATTTAAGTCAACACTTTTAAATCTTCTACCATTGTATATAGCCATATAAAAGAAAAGTCGTGTCTTGAATTCTTTGGTATGTCTAATGTCTCAAAGG